TTGAATTGCCTTGTGTTGAAAGGTACTATATAAATAAACTTGCCTTGCCTAAAATAAACGCACTCTCACCTTAACTACAGATTTAACCCTGGTTTGAATTGTTTTGTAACATTTAGGATGAAGCAAATCACAGCTCCTTGTTCAGAGGCATAAATCCTCTGTGCTTGTGTTGTGCATACACACAGCGTGCAGTCATGTCCTGTTGACCAAAACACACTTCCTCTCTCCAACCCCACACAGTGATGGGAGTGTACGAAGATACAATATAGAAACATTTTCTGGATTATATAAACTTTCCCATGGGTCTAGGACAACTACAATGTTACGTTAAGTAAAATGTAACACCACAAATGGTCTGTTGAAGTTATCTCACTACGGCTATTGCATTTATTGGGTGAAAAACATGATTAGATGATACATTTATTTTTTTAAATAGTAAGCTACTACGATATTATACGGAAAAACGTTCTGGATTCTCAAAGTTTGCCTGGGGTCTCGGTAACCCCTCATTCAAGTCAACAGAGAAATGTGTTGTTTACTGCCTGTTTTGTAATCTAATGCAGCGGTTCCCAATAGGGATGCTCCGATCGCCAATTTTGGGGCCGATCGCCGGAATCAGTATCGGCCGATACCGATCGCCGATCCGATCGAGTGGGCGGGGCCAATGGGGATCTTCCATTTAAAGTGATGTTTAAAACTCAGTTAATGGGGCTCATTCACTGGCGCTTCCACAAACAACAACCAACATCATTATTACATTCAAATGAAGTACATTATTCAAGTTTACATTAACTTTGGATAATAACACGGGAGAAATGAGAGGAAGCGCTCTCTTTTCCTCTCCCCCCCTCTCTCTCTCTCTCCTGACAGCCTGTCAGTATCTCATGCAGCTCACTGATCCAGTAATGAGTCAGACAGTGAAGAATAAATATATTTATAACTAGTTTAGCTTGTTCCAGAGGTAGATCAAATAGCTAAGTGTGTTAGGTCTAACTCTTAGTGTGTGTGTTTCGCTCCGCTCACCGGTCCGTCACAGCAGGATTTCTGCTTCACACACACGTTGCATACCGCTATTTTAATGTCATTTTCGGACACCTTAAAATACTGCCAGACCGGTGAAGCCATTTTGGCGAGCTTGTTTTGCCGCGCAGAGAGAAAAGTGTAATGTATTTTACGTCATCATTTTACGTCATGCGATCGGCTCTCGCGATCGCGAGAGCACCGATCGATCGGCAGAGAGTGAGTATCGGCCGATATAGATCGGCGGCCGATCAATCGGAGCATCCCTAGTTCCCAACCTTTTTCAACTCAGGGCCCACTTAAGAATCAAATGTTTGTGGCCCACATTCAACCATATACAATACGTAAATAAAGTTCTGATTGGTCCATTCAGAACATGTGACACGTTGTAAATCCAGTAGAACAGACCGCTGTCAAGGACTATAATGACCGTTGCTAAGGAGGATCAAGAAAGAGAAAGGAAAGGAGGTTAAAAAAAAAAAAAAATCTTAATAATGAAAATGTTTCCACACAAATCATAATATTTTGCAAATTATTTGGCGGCAAATATTGAATTTACATATACTGTACACCCTTTAATATTTTATTTGGGCTTTTAGATGAAGACCGCACACAGTTAATAAATACAACTATTCTTCTGGCTAAAATACATATTTTTAAAAGTCAATCAAGGAGTAATCTTAATTTAAGGTGTTTGAGGAGTAGATTCAAAATACAATTATTATTGCTACAAAAAATCAAAGGGTGGCTGAACACGCCATGAAATGGGAAATAATGAGCTCTAACGAAGAGTGGGATTAAAGGAACAATAAATATGCTTGCCATGTTGTTTTTTTGGTGGTATTTGGTTGTCAACCTATTTTTGTTTGTGAAATGTTGAAGTGACTGACTTCACTGACTGACTATCTTTATTTCTTCTGTTTTTGTTTTGTTGTCTGAGATGGGAATGTCATCTCCTATATGTTATTGTTATGTCAATGTTTGTGTCTTTAGCCTGTACAAAAAAATTATAAAAATAATGATAATAATGAAATTATTTGGCGGCCCACTTGTAATGCCTCCGCGGACTACTAGAGGGCCGCGGCCCACAGGTTGGGAACCGCTCTAATCTATTCAGTGCTCAATCAGGGGAAAATATCGGATGGCAGTTTGGTCATACTTCCCCTAAATCTTATCGTTTCTTAGGACTCTTTTTTTCCAGTGCAATCAAATCCAGTATTAGAACGAATTTGACTGTTTGACGCTGCGTAAAGCTAAGTTGAACACAGCATTCCTTTATAAAGATGCAACATACAGACCTATAGGAAACAGGAAATTAAACATTTTTGGACAAGGAAAGAAAAAGTATAGCAGTAAAGCGTTTTTTATCAATTTGTATATCAAAGCACTTCACACTGAGCATGACTTTTGCAGGGCACACTGTGTGACTTCCTGCTGGTATTGATCTGATCATTGGAGGTCAAGCAAGTAGACTAGAAAATGATGGGGCAGTTGGTTAGAGTTAGATCCATACTGATGTGTTCCATCTGAAAAACACCGTATGTGGGTGCAGGAATGGTTGGGTGAAGGAGTGGCGGCAGGGCCGGGCCAGAGCACACACACACACACACACACACACACACACACACACACACACACACACACACACACACACATCACCACACACACACACACACACACACACACACACACACACACACACACACACACACACACACACACAACACACACACACACACACACACACACACACACACCACACACACACACACACACACACACACACACACACACACACACACACACACACACTACACACACACACCACACACACACACACACACACCACACACACACACACACACACACACAACACACACACCACACACACACACACACACACACACACACACACACCACACACACACACACACACACACACACACACACACACACACACACACACACACACACACACACACACACACACACACACACACACACGTCGAAACAGAAAGAGGCAGACGGAGACTGATTAAAGAGCAAGCAATATCCATAATGCCAGTGAAGAAAATACTACATTAAACATTCTCTACAAATGGCAGTATATGGAGTGATGCAGGAATGAGTCCTAAAACCTGGAAATGAGTTAGCATTTAAGCACTTCTCAATTTAACAATTTTTCTTTTTTATGGGTTTTTGGTTAGATGCCTGAAAGGAATGTCTGAAATGTGAACAAGCTGAATAGATGTTCGCATTTTGTTCACGAACAAATACGTCTGATAAATTATGATAATATTAAAATAGGTTAAATACCCCATAAGTGAGTCTGAAGCTTCTATGCTTCTTAAAGTCGAGGTTGCTAACAAGTAACTAAATGAGACTACTAAAGGTCACCACGGCAAACATTAGCTACCTTTAGCTTAGCGTTGGTGGTGATGTGGTTCTTTTAAAGCCTAACGTTAGCATTTTACTTCTGGCGGTTGCATAGACGCTTAAAATCTGAAAGTGTTGATTATATGTGGAGATTCACCCATTAAACAAAAGAGTAAGTAAGTATCATAAATGTGTGTTTGCTTTAAAGGTCCCCTATTATACTGTTTTTCATCAATATATTATAGCTCTGAAGTGTTTGTCTGAAATACCAAACAGATCATTGCAGCATCCCATAATCCCCTCTGTTTCAGCCATGTTTCCAAAGTGCTGATTCTGTCTGTTACTTTAGAGGAAAATAAGGAGCCACTCCCCACGCCCCTCTGAGAGATATTTGGTTAAAAAGAACCCATTAGCCGCGTTCACACCGGAGTACTTTTCACCGTACTTTTCGCGTTTACTTCCGTTAGTACCCCTTATGTCGCGTTCACACCAAAAAGAGTACTTAATCTCGGGAACTTTTACCCCCATTTTTAGTGACTGCTGAGAGATGGTACTTTCCTGGGGGAAAAAAGTGCCCCAGTTCTGATTGGCTGGGCGAATTGCAAACCACGCCCCGTAAAACTCTGAAATGTTTTGTAGAGCCGCAATTTTATTATCCTCGCATTAGCATTATTAGCATTAGCATTCGCCCAGCGCACAAACGCAGAGAGACTAAGTTATGGCAACACAAAATAAAACATGGGAGCGGTGGAGATGAGGAGGTGTCGGCGTTCTGGCGATTTACTCGGAAGGCTTCAGTAGAAGCTGCTGGGAGTCCCAGCAGCTTCTACTGAAGCCAGTCCCCAACTCCGGGGACTTCCGGCCAGGGACTCCGGGTGGCGGTATACGCCGTGAAGTTGTTTGCGGCCTGCCAGTAAACCCAAAGCAGAAGAAGACGAAGTGACGTCAGCGGCTCATTTGCGTAATCTTCCCTCAGGGAATTTATTCCGGTGTGAACGCGATCTGTACTAAGTGCCCTGGGGTAATAAGTGCCGGGGCACTGAGTGCCGGCACTGAGTACGGCAAAGTACTTGGTGTGAACGCGGCTAATGGTGCTCTAGGAGGAGATTCAGGTGATAAGGTGAGGGGGGTTACCTTGGTTGGTGATTGGCTAATGGTTACACAAGCCCAAAAAACGTTATGACATCATAAAATTGCCAACATCTGATCAGCTCATTTTCAGACAGGTTTTTATATGGATCAGGACAAAAAGAGAGGGGGTCTTTTTTCCTGAAACTTTCAGAATCTCTTTGCAGAGGGGACACATGGTGATGTAGAAAAGACATGAAAAAGTGGATTTTGCATAATAGGTGACCTTTAATATTCAGAAATCAAATGGAAATAACCCATTTACTTGTTGTCAAAGGAGGCCTTGTGAAGGTCAGCATACAAAAATACATCATCACTGCACCACTCTTTATATTTTGTTTCTACTAGATAAGACCGTTTGTGTGGGTAAACCTTTTTTTATAATAATAATTACAATCTGGACTGCCGCTTGTGTGCTGTAGTTGAGTTTGACCTATAATTGTTGCCGTAGTTTGCGAGCTCTTGTGTTAGCATACCTGGTAGTACGTCCTGATGTGTCTGGTGAGAACGGTCAGGTTGTAGAGGCGGAGCGACACGTCATTGTTCACATTCTTGGTCAGTCTCTGATTGGTGGGGCTGGGGTCACTATGGAGACACAAACGCATTACAGGAGCACTTAGATTGACGTAAATTGGTGCTACTTAAGACAAAGATCATATTACACACACATACGCACACACACACGTCCCAAATGCAGGGTTACTATTGTGTTGGATTAGGATTTATGCCCGACACACGCCAGCCTGGGCCAGACTGATTTGCATTTGAACGGGGGGGTGACGCTGTCTGGCTGACCTACTGTCATGGAGTCAGTCTGCTGCCTCATGGGGATGATAATAAGAACACAGAGGCTGGAAAACAAACTTCCATTTTGCTTGGCCAAGCATTCAGAAGTGATCCTTACCATCTGAGCTCCTGGAAAATGTACTTTGCTCACTGAAATGAAGCTAAATAAAATACTTAATCTACTAATAGGTTTATTAAAACAGTAACTTGTTTGGGTTCAATCAGCTCTGAACAATAATAGGGTTACAGACTGACATTTCACATGGTTTCATCTATTCTCCTTTGAATGAGCTCGGCTTTTATTATTTGCCAGGTTTCATCTGGTTCAGTGGTTAAGCTCCAACTGATATCTCAAATCCTTTCAATGGTAAAACTTCAACAAAATAAGACAGAAATATAAGGAAAAAGCACTTCAACATCACTTGACCCTTGAACCATGTCAGAGCTCACACTTTAAATAACACTTGCCCTTTCAGGTCTTAGCGTTTCACATTTGGACAAAACCATAATCACAATTCCACACACATTGAAATACACAGTGTATTCCAGCTCTACTTCAGCCAAAACATCAATCTTTGACTTTAAGTTAGAGTAAGTTCTTTCTTGACTTTCACTTACACAGTTTAAACAGCACTTCAGATACTTCAACTTCGCACTTTAAGGTCATCAAAAGCTTATTCATTGTACTAAAATTACACATTTAAGTATTTCAGCACACCCATTTCAGATGCCAGCTCCCCTCATTTCAGTTACACTATGTTGACCAATACTTCAACTTCAGCCTGTTTCAGTGTGACTCAGAATGAAGATTTTTGAAAAAAGGAATTATAGTTCAGACAGCTTACTGCTTCTCTGCCTGGCTTCCTTTATTATTCCTTCTGGCTCTCCACCCTTGCCTCCTCGCCCGTAACCCACTTTCCAATAAACCCCTCCGACAGTCCTAATGACCCCCCCTCCCCCCTCCCAGCCTACATTCATTGCCAGGAGAACAATAGGGTGATTATCATTGTTTCCGAAGACAATAACTGATATATGAACATGTGGGGTGATTGGGGACAGAGGGCCGTCTGGTGGGAGGAGATTTAGATTCCAAACAAGTAGGTATTTGCCGTTATTATCAGTCGGGACAGACTTAGTGCCCAAATGTGTCGCTCCAATTTATAAAGAATGAAAGGAAAATAATATTTGTCAGCCTTGACAGAAACGCAAATATTTTTCAGCTTGTGATGGGCAAGATACTTAATGTTACCTAATGAATGTTAGCTTCCTTGAACAGGAGGCATGGTAGCCCTGCCTCTGTATGCATGGGTATGAATGCTGATTTGTATATGTAAATGCACTTTAAGGAGTAGTAAAGACTGAATAAAGTGCTTATAAATGCAATTTATTTATCATTTACCATATGTACGTATGTGTCATCATGGCAAAATGTCAACGGTTCTGCTGTTCAGGGCTTCTGACCATAATATATCACATTTTTCTAACCACCAGATTCTTTTTGAATTGTTCCCAATGAGGACAGAGCTTATGCTGTTCCTCCTCAAATAATAGAGCTGAACCCAGCATCATTTTTCTGAGCACACTGCCATTGTAATTGTAGAAAACTCGCATCCTCATCGATGTAGAAACTGGAGGAAAAATGTGTTTTTGGCCGTGTCTTCCAGACGTAAACTGTCCAATAACAAACACTGAAAAGCATGTTTGTTTGAGCAGACACTTGATTCAGCTGTCGGTGAGTGTTGTGTTGTCTCCGTACACAGATTGTTCTCCATGCGCTACGGCTGTCAGAATTAGCGGTAAAGCTCATTCATACATAGTTCAACAGAATTAAGGCAAGGGGCGATCCCAGTCTATCATACAACAGTGGCTGTCAAGATATTTCTATGACAACAATATCTTGATAGCATATCCATATCCTAACCGCTTTTGTGTGACAGACTAGCTTCATCCCCTTGGATTTGATCATCCGTTTGTGCTACTATATATTTGTTTGACATTGTTTTTTCACTATTGCAAATAACAGGAAGTAAGACAAGATAAAAGTCGGCAGCAAAATCCATGGTCCACCTGGCGAACCTGATCCAACAAATCAAATTTCAGATCTTTAATATGATAGTTTCAATATGAGGTTAGTCAAAAACAAGCTTCTCTAGGTGCTTCAGGCACATTTGAATATTTTCACTCGAAACACTTGGAGTGACCAAACAAAAATGGCAGAGCGCTCAGAACAAATAAGTTGGGTGCAGCACTTTTATTTTCTGTTCTCGTTGGAATCTATTGAAAAAAGCTGCCGCCGCTCAGAAAACATTGGAATGTGGATACTATATATATATTTCTGTCAGTCTGTCAGTGAACAGATTTTGTCACTGTGCTCCACCTTGCAAGATGCACAGTTGAGATAATTATAAGCATTACTTGAAAACGATGCGTGCAAGCATGTCCACGTTGAGATTTGTTATAGCACACTGCGTCGGTGTACTACCTGTCTGCTACTGTGCACTTCCTGAGCCAAAGTACAAACTGACAGCGGGTCAGTTCTAAAGGCACTGTTAATGATCTAACTAGGCTCTCTCTTATAATGTGCTGTTCTTTATGCAGACTTCAGCAGCACATCTGGCTGTGACGTTTACAACCTGAAACCAGCGAGTCAGGATGTGGTCGTGCACACACACACACACACACACACACACACACACAGGAAATACTGAATTAACTGATTACCGTTCATATACCCAGGCCAGATACACATCAAAGAACTTCTTTCACTGTCTCATGCAAATAAAACGTGGACCCCTCGCTGTGGGGTTACTTACATGTGTGTCATGATCTTGTGCAGGAAGACGCCGTCCACCAGCTCCATGAACATGTTCACCTGCTCCTCTGAGCCCGCGTCTTCACAGGAACCCAGAGGGCCCAGCGTCCGCACCTACACACACAGAAACAAGTTACTACACCACACATCTTTTCAATGTTTCCCTTTTGACTTGAAATGCTTGATGACATCATACCAAATACTGAGTTTCCAGATCATTACAATAGCTGTTACATTTAGCTGAGGCTCTTGCAATAAGTGCATTCAACCAAGAAGGAACAAACACAAAGAAGCAAGAATCCTGCAAGGACATCAGCCCCAAATAGGCCAAGCATTTCTTAGTGCTACATACAGAAGAGAAAAGGTTTTTTGGGGGAGTTTTAAACTGGACAAGAAACAGGTGGGTTTCACTTTCAAGTATGCAACAGGAGATGGGTAGACTTTCTGCAGCCGTGATATCAATATTCTTCCTCCATTTTGGAGCCGGGGTCATGATAAGACAACTGAGTGTCTTCCAGAGTTACAGTCTGTTGAAGTATGAAAATGCCTCCTTACGCTAGAGTGCCGAGTTGCAACAGAGTGGATATTTGGCACTAAAAATACACTTATTTGTCTTTAGAGGAGCTTCATTTTAACATTTGAATGCATCCTTGCAAAGAACAAGTGAAGGGGCGCCCTGGTAGCCAACAGAGCATCAACATTGTGTTAAAAGTGGGAACCCTTCTTTAAGAGCTATACTAAAGTGAAATGCTGTCAACTTCACATTTGAAGAGGCCCTATTCTGCTTGTTGGGGTTCCCCTTCCCTGTAGTGTGTTCTATAGGTTTGTGTGCATGTACATGCTCTGCAAAGGATCAAATCCCTGTGTTCCCTCCAGAGGGAGTTTATCTGCCTGTAAATGAATATATCCATAAAAAGTGACACATTTCTGTTTGCAAATGGGTTAACTGTTGCTACATTACTCTAGGTCGAGTTTCCATTAGTTTTGAGCAATGGCTAGCTCAGTCCCAGTTTGAAGCTATGCTAGTTTTCTTCAATTAGCTGCAGTAATGTTTGCTCTGATTCATATTTTGACAGTATCACACTTGGACATGCCGACTATGGGAGAGGCTCTTGAACATCATTATTTGGTCAAAATATGATAGAAGGGCAAAGAAACAGCATCTGTAACCAGTGAGGAAAAACATAATGTAATGATTCTGTTTTGACTCTGAAAGTACTTTCCCTGGTACTGTACCGGTCAGAACAGTGTCTCTCAATGGGTTAATAATGCAAGCTCCTGCAGCATGGTAAAATGGAGGGCAAAGTTGTGTTTCTACTACAGTATTGTAGTTTTAAAGAAATGTAGCCGAACTGAGAGAAAGAGATCAGAGAAAGTTAAAAAAAAGTCAGAGGTCAGCAAGTGTTTGTGTGTGCGTGTGCTGCTCCCACTCACCCACACCACCAGCGGAGACTCCATGAAAGTGGACAGTAACTCGGACAGAGTCACGTCCATGTTGTTCCAAAGGCTTTTCACTCCGTTAATTAATCAGTAAATATTCATAAATCCAGCGGCCATCAGTCGGTCTCAGCAGAAGGCTCGCGGTAGAACAAAGCCCCCGCGAGGCATCGATTCCCCCCTGCACGAGCTCCCTCTCTCACCACTATTGTCTCGCGCTGTCCTGTTTCCCAAAACACTGGGTTTAAAATGAAATACGTTGAATTTGGATCCAAACTGTTTGAAATGCTTCCATATGCACACCGGAGTCAGTTCCGTTAGTTTGGCGGGTAAAGATCCAGTTTATTTTCCGGTTGAAGGTGTAACACTTGATCCAAACTTCTCGGGACAGTAGTTCGCGTTGCCAAGGATACACGACTCGGAACGTAAATCGACAAAAACGGCCGTGAAATAAGTTAAGAAAAGTAAAGAAAGTGGAGAAAACTGAAATACACGATAGATAAACATAAAACGTTAAAATAGTTATTTCCGTTGTTTGCTACATCTCCACCACGTCCCTCTATCGCTCTATACCTCCTTTCTCTCCATCAACCTGACCGTGCGACAAAAGGAACGAAAGGGATGAATGACAACACTATAGACCAATCCGCTGCTGCAAAAGTGTAGTCCCCGCCCCTATTTGGTAAATCAGCCAATTACTGTGCAGTTTCATTTTTTATTCTCAGTCTTACGTCACCGCCTTCTGTCGCGAGCCAAAGAGCACAGAAGTAATACGATAATTAACATCTTGAAGAAGATCCTGAAATAGAAAACTTTTGTTTTGGTACCCTGAAATTAGTGGACTATTTTACATAAGTAATATATTGAGCTACACTGGTTTTGCTATAATGAAAGCACTAGTAATAAGATTGACTATTTTTTCTTTGTTCCCTAAATGTTATCCTTTGGTTAAAAGGAATAGAGGACTCAGAATTAAGACATCATATTTTGGAGATGTTTTAGCCTGTGCACAAAATAAGATTATAAGTGATTGAGGATCAGAGTGAAATTACAATGCAGAAAGAAAGAGGTGGCATCTGTGTAATATAAATATTAAAGGCGAGTTTATACAAAGTTAACTTCAAGAGGGCCTATTTTGGGGGGTTTCCCTCTCTTGGGAAAAGGCTAAAATCCCTGTGTTCCCTCCAGAGGGAGTTTCTCTACCCCACACTCCTTTGCTTACTTTAGTAACATAGTGACATCATAACGTAACTCTTGCGCTTTTATTGGTTAGGCTCCTACAAATTGTACATGATAAACTAAGGGGCGGGACATCTCTAAGCAGTTGACCAATCGGAGCAGACTGGGAAGGGATTAATAGAATGAAAATAAAATGAAGGATTACTGTAGGACCACTTCCAGGTCTTTTAGCCTTAGGGGACTTCCCTAGAGCAAAATGTAAAGTATAGTCACTGACAACAATTGATTTCTATGTGATAAATGTAATTTCTATAAAGTCTTTAACTTTTTATAAAGCAACCAAAAGCTAAACATTTAAACGTGATCCTCTTGCCATTGTAGTTTACAGAGAGAAGAATTGACTGTGTAAGTGGAGTAAGATGCTTTTGCTGCTGATCTCAGTGCAGTCAGCAGTACCTGTGAAGGAAAGAAGGGTGTATCAGGGTGAGGCTAAAGGGGAAATCAGCCAGAGTCATTGATTTGGCATGATCAGACAGGAAAGAAGCAGTTTAGCAACTTCCTGTTCAGAACCAGACCAAACATGCAGCAAACACACATGTTGCTAAATCAAAGGAGCAGCTATATTTGGACTAAAGTAAAAAGTGAAGTGGTAGATCTGAGAAAGTAAACTGAAGCATGGCACATGGCAACAATAACCTGCAGAACAGCGCCGCCGTGTGGCTCTCTCACGTTACTACAAAGCATAGAAGGAAATCATCCTCAGTATCAGTGTAACACAGAGGATTAGGGGCATATTTGAAACAATGTTAAAATCGAGGAAAACGTTTTTAATAGCTTTTGTTCTTAGATTAAGCTCAGAATTCAGAGAATACAATATTTCTGACTTTTCTGAAAATCTCTGAATTGTGAGAGAAAAGTTAGATTTCTGACTTTAATCTCAGAATTCTGATCTAAATCTCATAAAATAAAATCACTTTTGGTCAGATGTCAACATTCTTTAGCCCTAATCCTCTTCCACTGACTCATTTATGGTGTAATGTTTCAACTGAATGGTACGGGACGGCTCTATTCAACTCCACTCGCTGTGTGTTGGTGTTCTATTAGGAACAATTGTGGATAGTACCGAGTAACTGGTACTTATGTTTTAGTACCACGTAAAAGAGTGCTACTGTGGAATAAAGTGCAGTAAATGTAGACAGAGCTACCGGTTGTTTTACAGTGATGAAATGTAAATGTAATACAGCTGATAAGAAATGACATTACATGTTATTTACTTGACATGTGCACATTGTACTACAATATATTACACGTACATTACAATATACATTACAGTGGTGAATAAGTATTTAAAGAGGACGTATTCAGCTCATTTTCAGGTATTAGTATTTAGTGTCTCTACTGTGACATGTTTCCATGATTTAATGTTCAAAAAGCTCTTTATTTTTCTAATACTGCCTCTTTTCACCCTCTGTCTGAAACCAGAGGCCAGTCTGCTCCGATTGGTTAGTCTGTTGTGATTGGTCAACTACTTAGAGATATCCCGCCTGTTAGCCTATCAAGTACAATTTCTAGGAGTACTTGCCAATAGAAGTGTTACATTGTGATGTCACTACGTTACAGATGTAAGAAAATAATTCAATGGAGGCATGTCAGGTTGGGGAGTGTGGGAGAGAAACTTTAAGGGAAAAAAGTATAATTTTCAACAAAAAACACAAGGCGAGTCATTTTTCATCAATCATCTATTTATTTATTCATTGTGAATATTCATACAGATTTAATCAGAAGGGATTTCTGATAACAGGAAGTGGTGTCCATTAACTTTACATTCAATACAGTGAAGCCCCGCCCCTTCTTCCTCCTTAACGAATGGCGAAAGGTGGAACCTGCGATCCTATTGGTGCATTCTGGACTTCATAAACCTATCTTCAATATAACAAATATATAAATGCTCTACCCAGTGATAACAGTGATACTTTGTCAGGCCATCATATTTGAGACACACATTCGTTCACACGCACACACAAAATATAGAATAAATTCAGCATCATGTGCCAGCTAAAGACTAAAACGTTCACGGTTTCTTTACCCAGCAGCTCAGGGTCAGAGGTCATCTCTACTTAATGTGATCAGACGGGACAGTCAGTCAGAAACAGGTGAAAGAGAAAATATCAAGTGCCGTGTCCTTTATCTCAGTGTTCATTGGAAATCGTGAAGAGCCGTCTGTTCAACAGTCAGTCAGTCAGAGGAGTCAATACACTGCTTCATACAGAGTGTGTGTTCTTCATAGCAGTGAATGCCGTGGCTCAGTGACTTCAATTAGTGTCACATTTATTCCTCACCAGGGGCCTCATTTATTTGACCTTAATAAGAAGATTGATTTGATTTTAATTTCATATATTCTAAGCACTGCAAAAAGTTTAAACAAGTGGACTGTTATAGTTTAAATATGTTAAATTCTTATGGTTGAAATGGTCACAAGACAAAATAATGCAACTTTGATGAGGCCCCACATTCCTCTAAATAATAATAAAAGAAGAAAGGATTCTCCAGGTCCATGTTTTGGTCTCACTACAGTGTGATGATTAGAAGATGAGTGTGTGCATGTCGCTGCTGAACATAAACATGAGGGAGCAGTCAGGCACCAACAGAGACCCCAGTGAGGGTCTCTCCCTTTAAGGACAGTGAATACACATAAGGTTTATATAGCATAAAGTATTATCATCAGTGCCTGGTTAATACATTCTACAGGATGTGTGCTATTTAGCGTCATTAGAGTCAATGCGAAGACAAACTCTAATCTGAGATTTAGATTTTTTAAAAGTCATTATGTTATGAGATTAAAATTGAAATTGATAGTAATATAATATATGTATGTAATGTAAAATCCTAACATTTTAAATCCTTACATATATTGATAGAAAGCTTAAAGTAGTTCTCATTTATTTATTTTTTTGGCAATACGGTATAAACCAGATTTGAACAGAACATTTTCAGAAGTAAGTATTCTGATATAAAAGCTTATCAAAAAAAAAATGCTAGAAATAAGGCAATATAATGAAGTCGTAGATTTACAAGAAATATTCCAGATATTAGCTTTTATGTGTGTAATGAGGAGATTTAGAACTGAGGCTATAACGTTTTTGCATCTTTGTAGGAAGCGCACTGGTTCCCATGACAAAAAGCAATGGGATTTTTTTAATTTGATTTCTGAAACTTGCAGAGAGTAAGATCTGTGGCAGTCACACGTTTAGGATACTTACACTTTCAGTTCAGCTGGATAATCTCCACATTTTAACACCACTTTTATAATGTTTTACACGTAAATGCAATCTTCAGAACTCAAAAGCTAACGCTACGCTATAAAACCACATCACTGTCACATGACTTCAACACATCAACACCGCTAAGCTAAAGGCAGCTAATGTTGGGTGTGATGACGTTTAGTCGTCTCATTTAGACACTTGTTAGTAACCGCCGTTTTTAAATTGAGTGTTTACTGAGGTATTTTATGTCGTAGGACAAAACGTGAAAATATATTCAGCTCGTGGTAACCACAGACCTTAAATCAGACATCTATCCAAAACATGTTCAAAAAGCTTTGAGATGAGTCAAGAAGAAGTTCTAAAATGATAACTCATTTCCAGGTTTTAGGACTCTCCACCACTCTATAGGTTTCACTGATATGTTTTCTCATAACATTGAAACTCTCAAAATCTCAGATTAGTTTCCCTTAACAGCGGCCATGACACTATGTAACTCCCACACAGCGTTTAAGGTTCCAGTTTGTTGAATGTATCAAAGTGTACTCCATTGTCACTTTATGACGTGTGTGTGTGTGTGTGTGTGTGTGTGTGTGTGTGTGTGTGTGTGTGTGTTCTCAGCGCAGCCAGGAGCAGGGCACCCACTGTGGCTCAGTGTCCAGTTTGTTGATGAGTCTCAGCAGCTCGTTGAAGGCTTTGTCCTGGTCCGCGTTGACGATGACGGCGTCGAACAGATGTCCGCAGCTCTGCTCCATCTCTCGCGCCTTCTCAATGATGTCCCGCAGCTCCTCGGGCTGCACACACACACACACACGAACACACACAAACACACACACACGGATGTTAACACTGGAGATATGTGTGTTGACTGAGTGTAAACAGGAAGTGTAAACAGTTAGACAGGCACCTTTGGGTTTTTGTTGTCTTTAGCCAATAGGGCGCGGAGTCTTTCCTGGGAGGGCGGGGCTATGAAGATGATGTAAGGCTTTAAGTCTGAACTCCTCAATACCTTTAGAGCCTGTAAACATACACACACCAACATACATAAGGATTCAACCAAAACCATCACTACACCACCCTGTGTAATCTGTGTGTGTGTGTGTGTGTGTGTGTGTGTGTGTGTGTGTGTGTGTGTGTGTGTGTGTGTGTGTGTACCTGTGTGTGCAGACAGAGCACACAGATCTTCCCAGTGTTGATGACCTGCCTCACTGAGTCAGAACTCGTCCCGTACATGTTCTTCTCAAAGTCTCCAGACTCAATCAGCTTTCCTGTGAAAACAAGAAGGAACATTTTATTTACCACATTTCTCCAAGTAATATATTTTTTCACACTATGACATTTGACATGTCTGCAGTACAATGTGTTCATTTGAGTTTTTAATGTTTATATAAATAATTTCTGGGTTTGATTTCATTTTCATTTACTTCATTTGATTTCATAATAAAGAAAACAATCAAAAAACCAATGGATGTGCTAATATATTTACTGTAGGAACATTTCATATTCATTCCTGTTGAAAAATTACACTTAAACATGTGAACCCTTGGCTGTTTTCTTACTAACTCTAGTGTCACTACTCTTACTAGTTTTTGATTTAAGCTTGTTACCATGGACACAGTGGTGCTGGTATTTCCAGCTTGTGAGTATGTCGCAATAGAGAAATTGGGTGGGAGCCTGAGGAAGTGCACAGGAAGTTGGGGTGGAGGAATTTAAACACCCGCACACATTAAGGTCCTGCCCTTCTCTGGCGTCCCTGGCACCGTTGCAACTTTGTGTTTATTGAATGAGTACTTAATGTGCTCAGTTTACACCAGTTGTTCCCAAACCTTTCTTTGAGGACTCGTCATTATTTGGTGATTTTCTTATATTTAGGCTTCTGAATGAGTCAGATCATTTAGCTTGACTACCCTTTGCTGATATTGTGCTTCAGTGTCAAAGGAAGAAGCAAACTCTGATATTGACTTCTATCAAGTGCAGGTTGGATAAATATATAATTGAAGGTCTTTTCAGATGATTACCTATAGTTGTCATCAATTACTTTTTATTTGCAGTAGAGGTGTGCTATACATTTGTGAGGAATAAATAATGGTTAAAAGGATCATTTTAGTTTTTTCTTCCATCCTTCATTTTTGGATAACGAGAGATGAGTGTAAAGTATGTGTGTCTGACTGTAAGTGGTGGAAGAGCAGCTAATGGAAATCCCCAAAAAGACATTTAAAGAGTGTCATACTAAATAACCCATGTATATACAGTATGATATTAGAGTGTGTCTTCCCTAGCATGAGAGCTTACCTGCTGACAGCTCTGCCTCAAACGTCTGACGAGACACAAAGTGATAATCTCGACCACCCAGCTCGCCATCCCGCCGGCTCCGAGTGGTGTCTGACACACACACACACACACAAAAGCATGTTTCAAATTAATGAGTGTGTGTGTGTGTGAGAGAGTGTGAGTGTGAGTGTGAGTGTGAGTGTGAGTGTGTGTGTGTGTGTGTGTGTGTGTAATCTTACGGGGCACGGCTCCAGCGAAGCGCTCTGGTTGGCTGTTGAGCAGTTTTTGTCTGAGCTCCGCCTGCCCGCAACTGCCTGGACCAATCAGTGCGATCGGCCGCTTCCTATTGGCCGGCTGGTGGTACAGAGCCATCTCCTCATAGGTCAGGATCTCCTCGTTGTCAACATCTGGCAAATTGAGTAGAACAGAATTAATCAAATATATGGTCCAAAGGAAAAACTGTAAGAAGACTAAATGAAATGTTTGAGAGTGACAGAAAGACAGGAAGTCCTACCATCACTCTTTTGGGTGTTGTAAAGCAGCTTCTTTCTCTTCCTCTTGTTCTTCTTTGCACACCACAGCTTCCCTGTAAACGAGACGACAACGTAAAACACACACATTAATGGCGCATTTCCACTACAGCGCGGTTTAAGCGTGCCGTGCCTTGCCCGGCCCGTTTTTGGTTGCGTTTCCACTTGGCGTAGTACCGGCTAGCGGGTACTATTTCACAGTTTTTCTGGCCCCATAAAATCGAGGTTCTTAGCGGGCCAACAACCAGGCTGAGTCGGGCTGAGTATGCTAAACTAGAGAGAGAATCGCTGGCAAGGGGGCTACAACTACAACAAAATGAACATATTTGACCGTGATTTAATTGTACCACACGTTTCAAAATGATGCCTGACACAGGCAGTCTGTGGTTTGTACTTGTTTAACTGTTGTCTAGTTTCTGAACAGATATGAGGAGCTGTGAGCTCTGAGGGCTAACAGCTAACGGCTGATGTTGGTTTTCTGTGGTTTGCATTGAAGATGACGTCACGGCTCCGCCTACACTGCGTTACTATAGTTACTGCCCCAGCTACTAAACTGTAATGGAAACGCAGCATAAAGTGAGCCTGGCCTAACAAGGCCTAACTATACCGTACTAAGCCGAGCAAGGCCCTGCAATGGAAATGCGCCATAAGCTACAAGACCGATTGTATTTCATGTATGCAGGAACATACACATTCAACTGTCTGTTGGTGTAAAATAGCAAGCTTTGTGGTGCATAATGGTGTACTGTCAGTAAACTCATTGGATAATTGGACATTGACAAACCATAAACATTATTCTATAATTTAGTATTATAAACCTAAAATAGTTATTCATCAGGTTATAGAGTGGTGCGGGAATGAGTCATAAAACCCAGAAATGAGTTAGCATTTTAGCACTTCCAGTTCCCTTGCCTCAAAGTCAATGGTTTTCTGAAAGTATTTGTGGTTAGAAGCCTGAAATAAGGTCTGTGGTTAACACAAACTGAAGAAATTACTAAACGCCATCAATCCGAATATTAGCCGCCTTTAGCTTAGCGAAGTCATGCTAACGTTAGCTTTCTACTTCTGGTGAATACATTTACACTTCAAAATGCATGAAATGGTGTTAATATGTGGAGATGATCCTGCTGTTTACGTATCATAAATGAATGCTTTTGTGGATTGACCCCTTTGTGATGCTCACTTCAGGGAACTCTAAAGTGCAAAGAGTAGAGCAACATACCAGACTTCTCCGGCTCCTTTTCTTCTTCTATGGTCTGTTTCATGGCTTCTCTTTGCTGCTGGAAACTCTTCCCTGTGGTCAAAAAGAGAGAATATCAATACAAAAAACAGTAGTCATATCATGCAATAAAGAGTATGATCACATGGGTATGCATACCTGCCAACCCTACCGATTTGGGCGGTAGTCTACCGCTTTTGACATGTTTCTACCGTCTACCGACTTAGCTGACTCTCCCTACCGATTTTCAATCTTTCCAAACTATAACAAATAAAAATGACACTACATAGACACTGGACTCGACTTTTGGCGGACACCGTTTGCAGCGTGTCTGTGATCCCATCATACAAACAGTCCTCTGTGTTTCAGTCGATCGCGAGATATGTCTAAAAATAGAACAACAATATTCTGTTTTATCGTTAATGTCCTATAACATAATCTTCCTGTGCCAGAATAATGCACTTGAACGCATCAAAGCTTTGTGATTGGTGTGACCCCATGTATCGGGGCGTGGCTGGTAGGCAGTGGGCAGTGGGCACTAGTTTGCTGTGCAGTCCGCACACACAAGACCACAATTATGGCAGAAGCAAAAGAGCCCAAAATATATAATTTTCACTCCGAGTGGGGAGGATGATTATTTTTGTATCTATTCCAATTCAAAGTCCATCTGTCTCATCTGCAATGCGAGCGTGGCTTTATCGAAGAAGGGTAATTTAGGAGCGGCATTTCAAAACAGTGCACAAACGCTACGAGACGGAATTCCCTCCTAATTCTGCCCTACGCTCCCAAAAGGTGAGGGACCTGAAAGGACAGCTAAATGCACAGCAGTCCATTTTCACCAGGCCCAACAACAAGAGCAAGGCTGCTACCATAGCATCTTATCGTGTCAGTCACGTTCTTGCAAAACACATGAAGTCTTTCAAAGACGGCGAAGTTGTGAAAGAAGCATTCCTGGAGGCTGCCGACGCGCTTTTTGGGGACAGTAAAAATAACAGTAGCATTTCAACAGGTTTTTGATATAATAAAAACTCAAGTTAGATACCGTTATTAATCAGCTGTAAGTTTTAGTTTGTTTGAACTTATTCATTATAATTATTGTACAAAATGGTATAAGAATGCAAACTTTAAGATCTGTTCTGTTTAAATTGATTATAGTCTATTATCAATTCAGAAACTAGTGTTGCTTGCATCCTATTTTAAAGGCATTTCTTTTTATACTCTACTAAAATGCAAAAAAAAGAAAAGGGTTTGATTCTATTAATTTTCTCTTTTTTATTGCACTCTGGCAGCAGATTCCTGTGTAGCTTCAGATCTGAGTTGTCTTATTAGTAAAACTAATTTATACTTTTGTAGCAACACTATTTTTATATAATGGCAAAGAAAGGGTTCAGTCTTTTCTTTTTTTCCTGTATCATATGTGGCAGCACTGTTCAATGTTTCTTGAAAACATTACCCACTGTAGTTTGTGACGTGTGAATAAACTCCCAACTCTGTATCAACAACACTGTTGTGTAACTTCAGTTAAATACTTGTATGTGTGTAGATTAGAAAGAGGTAAGATAAAGGATCTGCAGTATTTTATGAAGTATTAATCGTACAAAGGTCAGTTTTATACAAGTAGAAGTGTGTATTTACCTGGTAGTAGGCTGTCAGTAATGGCTACACCTCTCTATTTGGACTGGTAGATCTCGGCAGACTGGCAACTTTAAAAGTAGCTCTCGGTTCAAAAAAGGTTGGGCACCCCTGATCTACACTGTCAAGGTTCAAGGTTCAAGGTTCTTTATTGTCAAACTAACATAGCTACAGAGTAATTATGTCGTTGAAAATCTTATGTCACAGGCTTCTCCAACAATGCAACTGAAAGAGGACCAGAAACACATTAAAAATATAATAAAATGTGGAGACTTTGGGATATTTATCTCCCATTCTTTTACTTTTCGGGCATTTTACAGACCAAACATGTCGTTGATGTCACTGTTTAGTGTTTACCAAACTACCACTTTTTCTGAAAAATGCATAAAATGATGCAATATATATGTTAAATACATGGTTTATACATGTAATTACTGGGGTTCTGATTACCTAATTTGGGCGTGCACATTTGCCGCGCGCAAACCTACCTCTTTTGGATTTGGAAAGGTTGGCATGTATGGGTATGTATTGGAGTGCCACAGCCAACCGTCAAGGGTTTTACTAAGATGCTACAGTGGAGGAAATAAGTGTTTTATCCCTTGCCGACTTTGTAAGTTTACCCACTTACAAAGAAATGAACAGTCTATCATTTTAATGGTAGGTTTATTTGACTAATGATTGACAGAATATCAAAAAGAAAATCCAGAAATTGACATTATATAAAAGATCAAAATTGATTTGCATTTAACCGTGGGAAATAAGTATTTGATCCCCTTGCAACCAACAAGGATTCTGGCTCCCACAGACCGCATAAGTCCTCTTCCTTTAAGAAAGTAGTACTCCTAACATCAACTTGTTACCTGTATAAAAGACACCTGTCCACAGAATCAATCAATCAGATTCCAACCTCTCCACCATGGGCAAGACCAAAGAGCTGTCTAATGGCGCGTTTCCACTACAGCGCGGAGCACGGTTTAAGAGGGCTGTGACGTCAGCGGCCCGTCTTTGGTTGCGTTTCCACTTGGCCTAGTACCGGCCGGCGGGTCCTAATTCACAGTTTTTCTGGCCTCATAAAATCGTGGGTCCAGGGCCAGAGACAACGAGGCTGAGTCGGGCTGAGTATGCTAAACTAGAGAGAGCATCGCTGGCAAGGGGGCTACAACTACAAGATGGACATATTTGACCGTGATTTAATTGTAATACACGTTTCAAAATGATGCCGAAGTAACAACATACTGATACCAGTTAGTAAAAACCATGAATTAATGCTTTGACAAGTCTGCAGACAGACGGCAGGCGAAAAACCTTTTAAAATGCGTGTGTTCTAAATGGAGATTGGCTAAGCTAACGCAGTATATGCTCCGACCGTCCACACTCACAACAACGGCCTATACAGACATAAATAAAGCAGCGACTGTATTCGCCATGACACAGACAGTCTGTGGTTTGTACTTGTTTAACTTTTGTCTAGTTTCTGAACATATATGAGGAGCTGTGAGCTCTGAGTGCTAACAGCTAACGGCTGTGTTGTTTTTCTGGGGTTCTCTGAAGATCACGTCACGGCTCCGCCTTCACTGCGTTACTATAGATACTACCCCAGTTCCTAAACTGTAATGGAAATGCGCCATAAAGACCTCAGGGACAAGACTGTAGACCTGCAGAAGGCTGGGATCGGCTACAAGACCATCAGAAAGCAGCTTGGTGAGAAGGAGACCAGTGTTGGTTCCATTATTCAGAAATAGAAGAAACACAAAATGAGCATCAGTCGCCCTCGGTCTGGGGCTCCACACAAGATCTGGCCCCGTGGGGTATTGATGATCATGAGAAAGGTGAGGGATCAGCAAAGAACTACACAGGAGGAACTTGTTTATGATCTCAAGGCAGCTGGGACCACAGTCACCAAGAAAACTATTGGGAACACACTACACCAGGGGTTTTCAAAGTGTGGGAAGGCGAGCCTCCCCTCAGAAAACATAAGAACAGCCGCACCCCCCCTCCCAATTATTATAGCTATTGCTATTATTATTATTATTATTATTATTGTTATTATTGTTGTTGTTGCCATAATGCAGGGGTATTCAATTGCACTTCAAAGAGGTCCAGTGAGAGAACATGTCATTATGCTCTGTTTTCTCTGTCTACCTTTCTCTTTATTGAGCACGCCATTTGAAATGACTCTGACTGTTTCTCTCTTCTTGTCTCGTCTCTGAGAGTGTGTTTGAATCTATCGTGCTGATTGGCTGAGTAGAGTCACCTCCTTAAAACATTAAACAATAACTTTTTTAAACCTTTTTATCTTTATGTTTTAAACATATTTGTTTTACATTTTCAACATGGTGGATAAATCCTTATATGCTCCCGGCAACACACTGAACGTCAACTTTGCCTCCTTATGACTCTCCCCTACTTTAGTGGGAACAATGAGTCTGCGTCTTTGATGCACACAGGCGGGTGATGCAGGGATGCAATGCAGACAGGAATAAACGCAGATCATCTTCTGGCTGCAGCCTTGACCGGTACTTGCTTTTGATCAAAGTCAATGCGGAAAACCCGCACTCACACAGGTAGGTGGAGGTGAAGGGAGCGCTAGTGAACTGTCAACGGGGGGAGCCTCGCTGCGGGGAAAACGGTGGAAATTAAGGGCGGTGCCGGCCGCCAGCGAACCAAGCCGGTCGTCAACGGCCCTTGACGACCAGCCGTTCTGTGATTCTCCAGATTCTACAGAGGACCAGTCCGCCCCAAGTGACACACGTTTTCTGCCAGATGCTGTCTCCTCTCTCACTTTAGGTAACTTCACTAAAAATCGATCCATGTTGCCGCTCGCATAAAGTTAGCTGAAGTTAACTAGCTAGATTTCACTGTTTCTCGTTATTTTTTTCTGACGCTGCGCCTCCCCTGAAGCTCTCTGGCGCCCCCCCGGGGAAGCGTGCCTCACACTTTGAAAACAGCTGCTCTACACCAAAATGGATCAAATCCTGCAGCGCCTGAAGGCCCCCTGCTCAAGAAGAACATGAACGGCCCGTCTGAAGATTGACAAACTTACAAAATCTGGAAGGAATCAAATACTTATTTCCTTCACTGTATAAGTAAAACACCCAAAAGACAAAATGGCCAGACAGAGGGAAGTACCTGGTACGAGTCCGGCTAGTGGCTGGTTGTCCTCGTCACCGTCCCTGTAGGCCTGCCACCAGTTGGGGTCAGACTGGCTGATGATGTGGAGAATGTCCCCCTTCTGGAATGACAGGCCCAGCTCTCTGCACGGCACATAGGGGTCGTCTGAGGGGTCGTAGTCGAAATGGGCCTTCACATGGACCTGAGGGAGGGAAGGAGACTGGGTTTAGATCACATCATTCAATAAAGTCAGACTGAAGCACTCCTTTGTGCATCAGTCAATCCTCTCAGTAAATACAGAGCTGAATCCCAGATCAAATGCACGCTGAAGGCTCTTTGAGCAGCTTTTCTCTCACTGATTGTGCTGTTATGTTAAATGTTTGTTGTTTGTGTTTCATGTATTTGTGTCTGGATATTTGTCTGTTGATGTTGGACATGGAGCTGCTGTGACGCAAGTCACATTTCAGACTTGATCTGACAAATAAAGTAATATCGTATCGTACATCCAAAAAGACATTTACAAACCTCATTTGAACACTTTCTAAATCTGTTCTTTATCAAAACATTTGCTCAGATGTTTATGATTGAGCACTCACCACGGACTCTTTGACAGGGGGGGGGTTTGCCCTGATTGCTGGGAATGAGCACAAAGGTCAGGAGGCCGTGCATGTCCGCCTGAAACACACACACACACACACACACACACACACACACACACACACACACACACACACACACACACACACCACACACACACACACACACACACACACACACACACACACCACACACACACACCACACACACACACACACCACACACACACACACACACACACACACACACACACACACACACACACACACACACACACACACACACACACACACACACCACACACACCACACACACACACACACACCACACACACACACACACACACACACACACACACACACACACACACACACACACACAATTAATCAACATCTCTTCATCACATGGATTGTTCATTTAACTTTTATAATGACCTTTGGTCCTTTTGCTGTTGTCATATGTAATAAAAGTATCACTAGATACAGCAATTGATAAGGGAAACGTATCATCTTGACACAAATGACAAATGAATGTGATGGATGAACAACTAGGTGGCGCTGCGGATGACTGCCTCTGTGTTGTGGCCCAATAAACCTAATTCCTTGTGTATGTATACCTACTTCGCAATAAACCTGATTCTGATCTGATTTTGATGCAGATGTTGGACAGGAACATTTCTAAATAACATATAGTAAAGGAATTTTAAGTTATAGGCAATTGGCTACATGTGCTTGAATAAGAATAACATACAAAGAACCAAGGGTGATCCATATTTATTTTTGGTGGATACCATCCAGTTGCCTTTGCCAGAACAAGTCAAATTGTTCTTTAAAGTTCACACATCAGGGCAAACAACAGGGAGAATATTGGCCAGAAATGTTAGGCTTTCATTAACCTGTTAAGCCCTGAGCCTGTTTTTCAGGTCTCAGGCTCGAAAATGACATGCCCAGAACAAATGACTATATCTTCAAAAAAATGGGTAAATTAATGATCTTTTTTCTCAAAGCAATGATACACCTGTGAGTTGGATGAAGAAAGTCAGAATCAATAGATGTTTTTATTTTAAAGTAAATTCAGATTGAACATAGTAACAAAATGTAAATTATAGTTTCCGTCCAAAAAAAACACATCACTTATAGTCAGGGTGCACATAACTGGTACGCAGGTACGCAGTAAAAGTCCTGCATTCAAAATGTTACTCAAGTAAAATTAGAAAAGTATTTTCAAAATATACTTAAAGTACCAAAAATAAAAGTAGTCATTGTGCAGATTGGTCCATTTCAGAATAATATATATGATATGTTTTATAATGATTGATCATGAAAGTGTTCTCAAAGCTGGTAAAGGTGCAGCTAGTTTGAATGACTTTGTATACTGCAGGGTAGCTTGTGAATTTACTCCAGGTGGAACTAAAGTCTGATTTAACACTTGAGTATATTTCACATCATTCATCCACATCTGTAAAGTAACTAAAGGTATTACATACATGTAGTGGAGTAAAAGTACAACATTTACCTCTGAACTGTAGTGGAGTAGAAGTACAAAGTAGCATCAAAGTCAAGTAAAGTACAAATATCTCAAATGATTGTACTTAAGTACAGTACTTGAATAAGTGTACTTTGTTACTTCCCACCTCTGAAATCAGATATGACTTCAAGTCATGTGATCATTTCTTAGTATTTGATCCTTCAACTTGGCCTCAGGAAATGCAAGGACTTCACAGTTTTGGCAACAAGTTTGGAGAAAGCAAATCGGAGGCATCTTCATCATCTTCATCATCTAGCATGCAAGAAGTGTAAATAGAGGACAGTGAAGGAGACACTGAGGAGGACCACGCTTCGTGTGGGGTACTCATCTGAGTAACTCACTAAAAAAGTTATGTGCACCATTACTTATAGTGAAAACCACCCTTGAAGGATGGGATAGTAGACTAAAAGCTTTAGGAATCCAAACTATAACATATAATGAGTACCCTGTATCAAGATGCAAAACAAGTGACATTTGACCTTTTTAGAGAGGTTTAGATAAAGAAAAAAACACCTCTCGGAGCCGCGGCTGAGAAAAGATAAGGCTGAGTGTGTGAGGAGCCGTTACGTCACTACGACCAGGAAGACAAAAATGGAAAAAGAGAAATGTCCAACGAGGCGTTCTGGGGCAGCACAGACAGGTCTTTTCTGTGTTAGAGTTTTACTCCCTACTTTGAGGGTTTGTGACTCTGCACACCGTTTACATGCAGAAAAAGCTACATAACACACAAGGGGACGGGTAATAACCGGAAAAGCATGACATGGGACCTTTAAAGAACCTAAGTATATAAAGATGTAAATGCAGATAATGCAGTCCCAAACGGACACTAAAACACCTGGAGTTTGAAACAAACAATGACTAATTGTTACACCCCTAATGCCCCTTTCACACCAACGCGTTTTCAAGGCCGGCTCGGAGCTAGAGCCTGAAAAGTACCGGTTTTTCCTCTTCACACCGCAGAGGCGCCGCCTCTTAGCTCCGGAATCCGGTTCGTTTCCAGCTCCAAAAGATTATCGGTCTAGAAGCAAGATTCCGGAGCTAAGAGGCGGCGCCGGTTACGTCTCTCTTACGTTGAGGCGGGGGCAGGGGCATGGGCGGGATCAACCTCCTGAACAACAACAAAATGCCCGCGTTTTATCCAGTTTGTACACAACGATGGAAAACCTCAAACTTAATAAGCAGCATTGCCATTGTTGTTGTTGTCGATGTGAGGGATTTCCGCGCGGTTTGGCTTTTATGAAGTAAACGGTTACGTCATGACGCAAACGATGAGGCAATGACGCAGTACCACCCCGGCTCTGTGTGGTGTGAACAAAGCGGGAGCAGAAAAGGGAAACCGGAGCTGAACCAGAAGAGCTCTAGCACGGAGCTAGAACGGGAAAAGCGCTGGTGTGAAAGCCGCATAAGTGATCTTATTCATTACTCCATCAAAGAACTCTTTGGATATACTTACAAGAATATCAAAGACCTGGTTGACATCCTTCCCTCTGATCTCGATGCCGTTAATCTCCAGGATTTCATCTCCTTCTGACAGAAGTCCGCTTCGTTCAGCGGCTCCACCTCGAACAATCCGACTGATCACCACACTCTCCATCTCGTTCCGCACCGTCGCCCCCTGCAGGACACACAGAGCAGCAGGATGATGGACACACATGGACATGACCCACTCCCTGTGGTATGTACAGCCCTTTGATTCTAACTGAGCACTTTAAGTGTAAACATGGTGGGATATAGAGTGTGTGTTCTCCTCACCAGTGGGATGTCCTGAGCTTTCTCTATGCGCACAATCTTCACAGTCTCCCCCCCCAACTGGGTTAGGGTCTCTCCCTGGGTGGGCGGCGGCTCAAGTTGCATCTCCTGCTCTGCTATCCTGTCATGGGACAGGAGCAAGGACTGCACACACACAATCATTCAACACACACACAAACATTAGTAGTCATAGTATAACAGGATTTTTCCGAAAACAGTGTGTGTGCATGTTTCTTATGTTGTGTGTCTGTGTGGTTGTGTGTGTTAACCTGGGTGGGTTTGTGTGTGTGCGCGTGTGCATGGTTTTGTGTGTGGTTATGTGTGTGTGTGTATATGTGTGCGCGTGCGTGCGTGTGTACCTGGTTGTGCATGTGGTTGTGTGAGATGGTGAACCAGGATTTGTGGGTGTGTACATATAGTTGTGTGTGAGTGTTTATGTGTGTGTGGTTGTATTAGTAAAGTTGTTTGTGCATATGGTTGTGATTTAGGTTGTGTGCGTGTACCTGGATGTGTGTGTCTGACAGCAGGCTGTGTAGTTCCAGTCCCTCTTTGTTCTGACTCGTCTCGATGAGACTCCTGGTCTGGGAACATAAGATATCACAGCATCATCAAGGCAAAGTCACCATAGCAATAACACATTCAACATATTCAATATAGCATCTGCAGACATTTCTGAGCTTAAAGGGATCATTTGTCTCATTTTATTGTAAAGCCCCAAACATAATTCAAATTAAACAGCTAAGGGTTAATCTAAATCTGGGCCCAGTCTACAAGGATTTGAGTCTAACAGGAGGCATTTCTTTGAGTGCAGTATTAAGTCTGAAAGTGTTTCGTCTTTAAAGCCAAATGCAGGGAAGGTTGTGGAGAGGCCAACATGGAGCAGGTGTGTGCGGCTCTATAATGACATGCCACTGAAATGAGCCATATCTTATCAACTCAACCTGTGGCAGGAAGAACATACAGCACTGATCGTACTAGCATCATGGATGTTGGCATATCTTAATCTGGTTATCATGAACCTGGTATCATGTGTAAATCACCTATACAAATATCAAACTTTACAAAGTAATATTCTCTACTATGCTTGGAAACCTTTCAAAAGTCCTAAAGCTTTGGATCTGTCTTTCTGATGAAGTCATTGGTATCATACATTTATATAGAGTGGTGCTGGAATGAATTCAAAACCCAGGAATAAGTACACATGTTACCATTTCCGGTACCTTTGTTTCAAAGTCAACTGTTTTTTTAACTACCCAAATAAGGTCTGTGGTTAACACAGGCTCACAGGATTTTCACATTTTGTTTTACGACATAACAATAGTAGATCCCACACAGGTGAATCTCTGAAGCTTCTATGTGTTATCAAAACTGTGGCTGCTAACAAGTGGCTAAATAAGCATCATAAACGGTTTTTTGCCACAGAGATTAATTTGGGCAATATTCCCACTGCTTTTTGTTGAGGGAGCCCTTAGCGATACAAACTTCCTACAAAGATCACTGCACCACTCTATACTGACAGGCTGTTGCCTACACATGTTATTACAGAATAAAAGAGTTGGCATATAGGAGTGAGTGTGTGTGTGTGTGTGGTGTGTGTGTGTGTGTGTGTGTGTGTGTGTGTGTGTGTGTGTGTGTGTGTGTGTGTGTGTGTGTGTGTGTGTGTGTGTGTGTGTGTGTGTGCACATGCTATAATCACTTGTGTTTGAGCTCTAATTGATACTCAACAGAGCTGCTCTGTATCCAATCTCATTATAACACTCACTGACCTGGACTGTTATTTTGCGTGTGTGTGTGTTTGTGCGTGTTTTAGTGAGTGTGTGTGTGGATGCGACAAGAAGTGTCTAGGAAATAAGATTTCAAACTGGAATTACCTCCATGGCCAGCTGCAGAGCCTGGTGTGTGTGTGGGTACGGAGGAGAGGGTCGATGCATGCTGGTTGCCACGGCATTATGGATCTTCAGCGCTGACTGGAAGTCAGACTACAGGAGGAAAAAGACAAGAGCAGCTTCTGTTATATTCTTCTCAACTGGAGCTCACATGTCATCTTCTCACATCACTATACCTGTATTCACATTGTTTAAAACTGAAATCAAACTTTTCCATTTGCTGTTTTCAAACTGACAGTGTTCACTTGCGCTTGTTTTGGTCATTTCACTTCATTTACAGTTCTTTTGAAAAAAAACAGGGTTGAGTTAGACAACCAACAATGTAAGGCTGGGGGATATATATAATATTCTCAATGTATTTTAAATGAATACTATGTTCCTTCACTTTAATGTACTAGATGATATGTCTTATTTCCTCAGAAAAGGTTCCAGGAAATGTCCGAGCAGCCACAAAGGGATATTCAATGCTTTTAAGATTCTTACAAATGGTTCTAGCAGAAACAGTGACATCTTTATTTGCTGTGGGCTTCCCTGTGGAGGCACATGAACACCTTCAATGACTTGTAGACAGATGTGTAAAAGAGAAAGCCAAAGAGGAGGTGGTTTCTGCAAACTCTTTACATTTATAAGACTTTGGGCTTCAAAAATATCCAATGCAAGAATATTTAATACTGGCATAATAGAGTGCTTCTCAGTAGCTTACATTCAAAAGCCCCCTCCATATATTGAAGCCTTCATTTGAACTTTTGGCATCTGGTGAGGCCCCAGTTGTCATGGACGCTCAGACAGCTCAGACAACACTGCTTTGTCTTTGTAAATCTCTTTTAGCCAGAAAGTCTTGAAAAAGACCTCCATTTCATATTGACTCTGAAGCTCTCTCCATCTAATGCTCCTTCTATTACCTTGTTTAGTAGTGCAAGAACATGCTCGATGTCGCTCTGACTCTGCTGGTCGGACAAGCATCCCCGAATCTGCTTCAGGGACAGCAGCAGCTCCTCCAACTCTGCAATAAGAACACATGCACTGTTTAGTAACTTGATGCACTGGCCCAACATTGGCAGTGGCCACCACCTTCATAGAAGGGGGAAGAAAATCATTGCTTTTGTGTTGACAAAAAACGAAATGCTGCACAGTCTCTGGTCATCTTTTTTGTCCATGGCTTTATCAAAGCACAAACTTGTTCTGTATATTTATTATTTAACGGTTTAATTAAATGAATGGCAACTTTATAAGGTTTTTAAAGTTATTTTTAGGAATTTGGGCTCATTCAAAGTTTCCCTAGCACAAAAGGAGAATAACCAACGACAAAATAATATAAAAATATCTGCATTGGTGTCAGCATCGGCCACATTTTTGAAAATGGCTATTTTAAACATCGGTATTGGCCTTGGCTGAGACATTTTACAGCGGTATATCTCTTTTGATAACATTTCACTTCCACAAATCAACCCACAGAAAAGAGAAGACCATAAAGGGGCTTGAAATGAGAGATGTACTTTCCTGTCAGGTGACGGCTTGCTTTTCCTGGCTTCAGATTGAGGTATGTAAGAGCTGCATCTAATTCCTTAAGTAAAGGCGCTACTGTGTGCGTGTCAACATTGCCACCCCTCACAACGTTTAATTAAGTCACCCTCAAGAGCCTCTCATGTCCTTCTCTCCCTCCCTGAGGAATTCCCTCCCTAGCAGCAGTCATGCCTTCCATACATTCCTCTCCCTCCCTGCCAGCTTTCTGCAGACATTTGATTTCTACCGTACACTGTAACTTTGTATTCTTTTCTTTCTCTTTCATCCATTATGTGTGTGTGTGGGTTTTACCTAGCAGTGCGTGTGTGTGCTGGATGTTGAGAGCTGGCTGCTGCGGTGTGTTTGAGTCCTGCAGGAATGTGGGGTTGTCGATGCCGATGTGGGGATGCTGGGAGAGCTTCCTGAGTCTGATGGAGGAGTTCAGGTCCAGCTGCCGACCCTCCTCCTCTCTGCGGCGACGCAGATCCTCCTGGCACACACACGGAAGAATAAATGCACCGTCAATAGAAATACAATTAAACAACAAAGCATAACAGCCTCATATTGAGTAAATAAACAATAAGCATTTTGTTACATTTCTTCACTATAATACGTTATTGGTTACAGTGCAGTAAAAACTGTGTTTACAGCTGAGAGCAAGCATAAATAGCAGGTATCTGCATGATGAAAACCTTTTTTCTAAAGTCTCCCAGCTTTGTTGACGTTTAATCCTAAATTGTGCTTACTCTTTGCCATGTTTACGGTTGGAATAATAGTCTCTTTGCTCTTAAGATCATATGTTTTCAAATCAGATCAAATGTTTATATTGCCTAATATCACTAAACACATATGTCTCAGCAGGCTTTACAGTTTGTACATCACAAAGTATGGATGACAGTGTAAAAAATGTAATCAAATTACAACAGACAATCCATCGGTAAAATCGTCGACATTTAATTAAATAAAGGACCCGGAAGGACCTTGTCAGCCCTAACTATAAGCTTCATCAAAAAGCAAAGTCTTAAGCCCGCTCTTAAATGTGAAGAGGGTGCGCTTGCCTCCTGAAATTGTATTTTTTCCAAATTCTTAACCTACAAAGTAACTAGACTAAAGTTTTTCCTCCTAAACGTATGGCAGTGAAAGTGTCAAATAGCATATCCTAGCACTAGCAGCAGAGAGTTGTACACAGGTGAGTAAATGCACTTTGTTACACAGCACCAGCGCCAATAGCTCTTGTGAACTCAGTTAGCACAAAGACATGCAGACCATGCTGACACTGGGCAGTGACTGTGACAAAGCACCCTGCTCTTATATTTCTATGTGTCTTGTCTGTTACCATTCAATTTGAGCACTTACTGCTACAGCTATTTCATTAACAATGGTTGTTCTTAAATTCACTTTAAAATAAATATCGCTTGAATGTTTGTTGCAGCTTTTATGTTGAATTAAATAAAGTGGTGCAGGGATGAGTCCTAAAAGCCGGAAATGAGTTAGGTACCAGTATAAGTTTTTTGGTTTTATGCAATCAGAAAATACCCCACTTGAGAATGTCTGAAACTTCTATGTGTCTTAAAAAGGTGGTTGCCAACAAGTGGCAAAGAGAAGCATTCGACACAAATCACACCTAACATTAGCTACCTTTAGCTTAGCCGTGGTGACTGTAGTTCCTTTATAGCCTAAAGTTACCTCTTGCAATTGCATTTATGTTCAACAATTCAAGAAACAAACAAGTGGTGATATACGTAGAGATTTTCCTGCTGAACAAAACGTGGAAGTATCATAAATGTGTGTTTGCTTAAGGCCTTATTCAATATTCTTAAATCCAATGTAAAAATCTCAATGCTTTTTGTTGAGGGAGAGGTTAGCGATGCTAACTTTGGGGTTAGCCTACAAAAATCACTGTATCACTCTATAAGTGTAGTACTCTATAAGAAAATAACGTGTGTGTGTGTGTGTGTGAGTGTGAGTGTGAGTGTGAGTGTGAGTGTGTGAGTGAGTGAGTGTGTGTGTGTGTACCTGGTGCTGTCGTATCCTCTCCAGCTGTGCAGATCTTCTGACCGGTAGTGTTCGACTCCCCAGCTCTCCTGGACAGTCCACAGCCATCTCCCTATGCTGTCCTCCCCTCAGCTCTTCATCTCCTCCCCCTCCCCCTCCCTCTCCAGCGACATGGCCGTTCAGATGGGAGGTTGTCATTGTTGGTGTGTGGATTACAGGGTTGTTTGGGTAAGGTTTTCTAAATATCAGTGACATCTAGGAGGGCAGCTCAGCAAACAGGGCGGCCATGATACCTTCAGCTGTGGAGAAAGCAGAAGAAATATGTCATTATTTATTAATTTAATAAAAAAGCTTTGCTTTTACACAAAATATGACCTTCAATTTAAGTAGGAGGTTAAAACGTATTAACACACATATGTGCATGTGTAAATGATGCACATGAATCTAAGAAGGTCAAATAAGCTAGAGAATAAATACAATAAAGCTAAACAGTAAAAGTAAAGACAGAAATAAGACACACTTAATAAATAAGGGACACAAACCGACAGAGAACCAGTGGGAGTATTTCTTATGTGGAAACTAGTGTGTGACATTCAACATCCCAACATTCCTCCAACATTGATAAGATCACATCAGAAGAGGAAGTGTCCTGAAGGCCATTTCGCGGTGCTACACTATCAGACCCAGGTCTGGTTAATCATGACCATTAGGGATCTATTTACCTGTGACTATTGAGTCTGACATGACAAACACAGGATGTATGAGTGTTTAGTATTCCAAAATGAAAGTTTCTTAAAAAATAAATGACTCTAAAGAGGACATGTTATGCTCATTTTCACATGTATGTTATTATTGTGTCCCTCTCCTGTGACATGTTCACATGCTTAATGTTCAAAAAGCTCTTTATGTTTCTCATACTGTCTGTGCTGCAGCACCTCTTTTCACCCTCTGTCTGAAACCAAAGCCCAGTTTGCTCTGATTGGTTAGCTGGCCGGCTCTGTTGTAATTAGGGATGTCCCGATCACCTTTTTTTGCTCCCGATCCGATCATTTGATTTTGACAATCTGCCGATACCGATTTTTCCCGATACGATCTTTATGCAATGCATTAAGAGAACAAAAAGGTAACAGATAACGGCTGGTCATCCAACGCGATGAATTCAGCTATCTTGGCTGTTATTCTTTTGGCCTTTTCACTGTTCTGGGGCAGTTTCTCTTTCCTTTTAAAAGTCTCTGAAAGTGTCGGTTGTTTCAGTGCCGTTACCCGAGTGGCCGCTGTGTACTCGTCGTGTTGTTGTTGGTGGTGTTTGTATTAGATTGGTCGTGTTGAACGTAGCTCTGTTCTTTCCACCACGCGGAACCTCCGCCTTGCAAACATTGCATCTGGCTGTTACACTGCCTTCCCTTTCAATTTTATAATACTTCCAAACTCCTGACATTTTCTCTGTCCCGACTCCCGAGTCACCAGCTGAACGTAGCCTCTTGTTAGCTTACTGCTACTATTAGACACTGCGCCCACTCTGTTGCCAGATTTGAGAGAAATAAGCAACCAGGTCTATGAAACAAGCCCAAAAGAAGCAACACATACATGATGTTGTGTAATTTTAAACCAAAACTAAGGCCTCAGGATGACTTTAAGACGTGAACATGGTCATTTTTGTTTTGTAACATTAAATAAAATAAAAATATTTTATTAAAAAAAAAAAAAAAAAATCCCGATCCCCGATTTTTTTCTCCCGATTCCGATCTTTTGAAAATCACGTGATCGGCTCCGATCCCCGATCACGTGATCGGATCGGGACATCTCTAGTTGTAATTGGTCAACCGCTTAGATATGTCCCAACAGTTAGCCTATCACGTGCAATGTGTTGGAGCACTAGCCAACAGAAGCGAGTGTTACATAGAGATGTCATTATGTTATGGAAGTAAACAAAGGAGAAAAAACATGCCCAAAAAAAGGTGGCCAAAACAGCTGAAAGAACAGATTTCTCCCAGCAGACATTTGGACTTTTATCAGAAGAAAAACACAGGTGGTACAAATTACATAATGAACAAGTGTCCTCGTAAACTATAACGGTGAGCCAGCCATGGAATTCAGCCAAAAACAGTAAATTATAGCCTCTAAAAGAGTAGTTTAAAAAAAAAAACTTTTGATAATATTAATTACATTTGACCTAATACATATCAATTAATGTTAAAATTGGAAAAAACACATTACAGTCAACAGTTAAAGTGGACCTATCATGCTATATTTAAATGATATATTGTAGGGCCATACCTATATAAGGTATATTTATACGTTTCTGTTTTCAAAATACCAAACAGATCATGCATTTTAGCCATGCCTCATTTCGCTCTATTTGCTGTTCTCCAGCCCTGTTTTTGCAGGGGGCTGATTCTGTGAGCTGCAGCTGACCACGGCCCCCTGCAGGAGAGGGGAGCCGCTCTGATCAAGTCAGAAGAGGGGGAGAAAAATAGATCTCCGTCCTCCGTGTTTTATTATATTATTATATAGAGTCTTTATTCATTTGTTTTAAAGCTCAATAAATAACAAAGAAGACCTTTGACCGGCACTTTTCTAATTTTGTCCGGAAGATTTAAACTTTAACGGACATCTTGACCGGCGAAAGAAAACCTAACTGAAACTCTGCCGCACGGTCCCCTCGTTCCTTGGAAGAGGCGGAGAGGTAGGTGTTTGTCATCTGCTGGTGGACTAACCGGAGAGAATTACAGTGCTTGCCTCGACGGGGAGGGATTGCATTGAATTAAAGCAGCAGGAGCAAACGCTTGCCTCGGGGAGGGAGAAAAAAAGCCACAGCGGCGAATAAACAGAAGGGCAACCATGGCAACCATGCGCGGGAAGTCTTCTTTGCTGCTTTTGTGGCAGACTACAGCGGCACTTACAGGCCTGGCATATGTACTACAGCGTCTCCAGCGCTTTCGAGCGGCAATGGCCGGCCGTGGCCCAACCCCACATTCCCCTGATAGGTGGAGAGTTGGCCCAATAGCCGTAGCGCCACCGTCCTGACGTCAGGACAGTGTTCAAATCTGGATCAGTTTTTATCAGATCCGTTGCAGCCCCGTTTTTAGAGATTTGGGTATGCAGGAAAATAGAGAGGGTTGTGTTTTCTGACACTTGGTGAGTTCCCTGGAACACCGGGGACACATATTCATGTATAAAAGACGTATAAAAGACGTACAAAAGTGCATTTTGCATGATAGGTCCCCTTTAAACAACATTACACAGCTTATATTATTTATCAGGATGTGTTGGTTTAGTTGGATCAGATTTGAATGACAAAGAAACAGGCTAACTGTGCCAACAGTGACAGTTGGACAACTTTATAAACCCAGAGCGTCAAGAAGCGCTCCGGTCCCAGCTGAGCGCATCACCTGCAGCGTTTTTGTATTTGCAGCGTTTTTGTTTATACATCGCTTTTAGTAAACGCTGCCCATGTTTAATCAAGTTAGTGAAAGCTTTTAAATGCCGTGCATGTGTTGTCAAGTTTGTGAAGATGTTTCTTCATTTGCATGTGTTTTGGCACATTTGTGTTTTAATATTTGCATTGTTTCTGGAGCTGCAGCTCATTCCTCCTTTTGTGTTGGGCACCCGTCGGCCACCGTATAAAGTGCAAATAAACAAAAAGTGGGGGAAAAAAGTATTATCCTTTAATGACAACGAAACTGGTGCAGACTGACTGACCAAACCTGTTGACCTGCTGGTTTACAACCTGAGCTAATGCTATCTGAGCAATAGTTTACTGGCTGTCAATTCACAATGAATGTTTTTACCAATTAGGATTAATTGGTACACTAACTAGTTCAAAACCACTAAATAATTAATGACTCAGGTGCTTTCGCTCCATCTTAGCTAGCTCTTTCTGATATGTAGTTCAGAGACAATTACGTCATCACAACCCCCCACTCTGCACACACAACCATGACAACGGCTTTGTGGACACACACACACACACACACACACACACACACACACACACACACACACACACACACACACACACACACACACACACACACACACCACACACACACACACACACACACACACACACACACACACACACACACACACACACACACACACACACACACACACACACACACCACACACACACACACACACACACACACACACACACACACACACACACACACACACACACACACCACACACACACACACACACACACACACACACACACACACACACACACACACACACACACACACACACACACACACACCACACACTCACACACACACACACACACACACACACACACACACACCACACACACACACACACACACACACACAAATAAAAAGGTGAGACAGATGGATGCCTTATCTTCTGTTCCCACAATAACAACAGCACATTGATATGCTATCTCTCACAAGCAGGAGGACACACAAACACACACACAGAGCATAGGTCCCACTGAGGTCCCATGATGCAGCAGTGAGGAATGCCAGGCAGCCCTGTGAACCAAATTCCACTGATGGGGGAAGGGAGTGTGTATAATATATGCCTGTGTGAGTGATCAAAACACTACTATAGAAATCTATCTTAGTGTATTTGACTTTATTATATATTGGGACCAATCAGCATGAATTCAAATCCAGTCAAAGGGAGCAGAGCATCACTACTTTTATTATTTTTTTGGACGGTCCCAGGTATAAGTAAACAAATGTTAGACTAATAAAATGGAATTGCTGATGCCCGATCAGGTTTTTTGTAACATCAAACACATTCTTGTAAATACCTCCTAAAACCCATAGAATGGAGAATGTTTGCTGCACAATTTGGAAAAAAATTGTTTTACATTATTATTGCATTGCAATATCAGTTTCAGACTCACTATATTACCTGGATCGATCATTTTATTCTCATTATCACTGAAAAATATATTAAGATGATAATTTAGCCTTTCACAAATATTGCACTTCCCACAATTTGAATATTGCACTAGTCTCTCTAAAGACTGATAAAATGGCGTTTAATTGTGCAGCCCTATTTTCCTAATATCTTTGCTCAGATTACACAGAAAGTAGTGCGATGATGTTGGATGTTACATACACCAACGCGGTTCCAGGGCCGGTTCGGAGCTAGAGCCTGATAAGCACCGGTTTTTCCTGTTCACACCGCAGCGGAGCCGGCTCTTTTCTCCGAAGACCGGTTCTTACCAAGCACCAAAATATTGACGGTCTAGAAGCAAGAACCGCATAAGTCACGCTTACGTCGGAGGGGGGCGAGATTAACCTGAGCTAACAGTTTATGG